AGGTATTTTCCAACCCAGACCTGGCAACCCTAGTGCACACTCTATCAGGCCAAAATCTGATTAAAAGTCTAGAGTCTATCGGACTAGACTTGCATAAGCAAGCTCACTGGAACTCCTGGAACCAGCTTACTAACACCCCGTCTTCAGGCCTGGCAATATCCTTGACAAGCATTTCCATCTGAGAAACGATTATAAACTACAGATACGAGAAGTTAACCTGAGGCAGAGCAGCAATACCAAAAGTTTTGAAATGCATTTGATTCCTTAGAAATTTAATGCCCTTCTTGAATGTCCTTCTGACTTAAAAGACTCTGCATCTGCAAACACCACAACGTAGTACAAAGGAACACCATCTAATTTCTCTTTCATCTGAGCTAGAGATAGGACTGGATACTCAGTTCAGTTCACTTTATTTCTACAGTCCTCAGACCAGTCATACAAAAAGAAGTACACCTTTACAATATTCCGAGATTTTAAAATATGTCAGTAAAACTTTAAAAGCAGATTAAAATTTAATCTAACATCTAACTGTCATAACTACCTAGCTACCATAGAATTTCCGTAAACTGAGTATCACCATACAGAAACTGGCTACTTGGTGGGTAATCTTGGGATTTCTATCAGATACAAGAAACTCAAGTCTAGCTTTTTTGGAAAGGCCTGGAATTTCTTCAAACAATGCAGTGATGGTCTTATTACGTGCCACCTTATAATACGGGCATCTAAGAAACATGTGCTTTGTAGTCTCAACCTCCCTTAATGGGCAGGTACAAAGCTCTTCTGTGAAAGGAATATTCTTGTATTAATCTGATACTCAAATTATCCAGATAGCCACTTTTTTTTTTTAACATCCAGGTTTCCTCAACCCAAAGTGGCTGAATCCCACACACTTTTACTCAAAAGGAAGTCCCTCTGAGTTCAGTAGGATTTTAACTTTTTCGTAAAGGTTCACACAGCCTGTGGTGTTGAAAAGATTTCAGAGTCGGATTCTTTCTTTTCTTTTTTTTAAAGGCGTGAATGGGTAATCCAGCCATTCATCCAGCAGGGGGAACTTGGTTTCCTTTCAAAAATGCTGGAATCTGGCAACAGGACTGCTTTCTCCCTGCAATTTCTGGCACACTTTCCTCATTCATCCAACTCCCAGCAGACCTTTGCTCACAAAACTTGCCTCCTGGAAAAATTATATGGTTAACTCATCGCCACACATCTTTCCCATCTGTAATGACTCATGTAATTCAATCAGGAAATGTTCAGTCAACCACCCCAAACAGTTCTCATCCTCATTAAGAAGATACAAGCTAACACAGAAACTTTATTACTACTACAAAATAACCCATATTTTGAAATCTTTTCCCGAGGCAAAACATTTAAACTCTGCCTTGCTCTCCCCAAGTTCAAGAGACTACTGCTGTCTGTATAAGTCAGAACTGACAGCTGGCTCATCCAAAAATACATTTTGGGAGCCCCCTCCCACATTATAGGTCTGCAAATTCGCACGTCTGCAGTGTTGTACAAAATTATTTCTTTGGTGGAGGGAGAAGGCAGAAGGATATTACACATGTTGAACTCAAACTGCATAGAGGAACCAGCACGAGAGCACTGGCCCCGTCTCTGACCCAGGCAGAATCACTCATTCACGAACGCGGAGTGTACATGTGTACGAAATGTATTTTTAATTTAATTTTATTTATTTATTTTTCGCATTTATACCCCGCCCTCCCCGATAGGCTCAGGGCGGCTTACAGAGGCAAGGCAAAACCTTGCCATAATAAAAACATAATATGCATAATGATTTAAAAACATATAATACATCTTTAAAAACATCCTAAATTAAAACATGGTGCTCAATAGCTTGCATAGTTCCAGAGATGGCAGATCGTTGGTCCGAAGTTCCGAGTGGTACTTCCCACGGCTCAATATTAAGATGTTTCCTCAGGGCTTCGTCCAAAACAAGGCGGTGGTGGTATAGTAGGGGCGGTGGCTCCTACTCAAAGGCCTAGCGGAAGAGCTCCGTCTTGCAGGCCCTGCGGAACTGCATGAGATCCCGCAGGGCCCGGATCTCCCCTGGGAGCTCATTCCACCAGGTAGGAGCCGCCACCGAAAAAGCCCTGGTCCTAGTAGCAGCCAGCTTTGTATCCTTGGGACCCGGGATGGCTAACAAATTTTGGGGCCCTGACCGTAGTGCTCTTGGGGGAACATATGGGGAAACATACGGGAAAGAATTTATGCTCTGCCTTTCTGCCTCCAGAAGGGCCACGAAAAGTATCCTAGGCCTACCGCTACAGCTGAAGGCTTCCCCCTCAGTTCCCTTTGAAGCCTGCTGGTGCCATGGGCATTGGTGGAAGGAACTGGGGGGAGGAAAGGCTTGGTGCGCCTGCGAGCCTATGTCACTTCCGGTTTAAACAGGAAGTGACATGGGACACCCCAGCAGGCCGCAAAAATTCTATGGTAAAACCACAGAGTTTTTGCGAAATGCTAGAATGTCCCCTGTGTCACTTCTAGTTTAAACTGGAAGTGATGGAGGTGCGCTGGCATGCCAGGTCCTGTCCCCCGATTGCCACTGTGGATTGCCAGTTGTGGCACGGCAACGCTAGCAAGGCAGCTAACAGATTAAAACATACATAATAAAACCATATTTTAAAACCATTAAATCCAACAAATATCTTCTGCATTCTAATTTGCCCATTTCTCCCCCCTCCCCATCATATTTGTGGTGTGTATCTAAAACACTATATTTTTAGAGAGTTAATCTGTAATTTTCTTCTGTTGTACGATAGTAACATTAAAGACAAAACACTAAAATAAAAAGCAATAAAAATGCATCATTAAAACAATTAAAACCACGGCTAAATGCCATACGTATGTACACGTACAGGCAGTGTACCCATGATGGGGAACACACACCCCCTTTAAACATACTTTCTTGGTCACAGGGATGGGGCCTGTGTGTGTAGGAGAAGAAGAAGAAGAGATTGGATTTATACCCCGCCCTTCACTACCCAAAGGTGTCTCAGAGCGGCTTACAAACTCCTTTCCTTTTCCCTCCCCACAACAGACACCCTGTGAGGTAGGTGGGGCTGAGAGAGCTCTGACAGGAACTGCTCTTTTTCAAGTACAGCTCTTATCAGACTAAGGCTTGCCCAAGGTCATCCAGGCAGGTGCAAGTGGAGGAGTGGGGAATCAAACCCGGTTCTCCCAGATTAGAGTCCACACACCTAACCACTACACCAAACTGGCTCTCGTAGACTCTGCGTAGACTCTGTGGCTATGAACCAGGAACCACACAAAGGCAGGGGTTGGAGTCAACGCACTCATGCCCACTCCCCCTTTGCGCACATTGGATTCAGTGCTTGTAACGCTGTCATTCCTGGGCTAGGGAACCAGCACAGACACAAGAACCAGCACATTAGGGAGCAAGTTTCAGCATATCCATTTTGTTGATGGTTGTTTAAATTCAAGGCATTTTTTTTAAAACACTGGAGAACATTTAAAAAAGACATTACTTCAGGCTGCCACCACATTTTGCTACACTTAAAAAATTCCGCCCCTCCTCCACAGGGCTCAATGTCCCCAGTTCTCCTCTCCTGCATTTTATCCCTACAACCAGCTGAGACCACGTGCCTGGCCCCAGGTCACTCCACGATGCTCACAGCAAGACGGGGATTCAAACTGGGTATTCCCGGTTCTAGCTGTACACTCTGTAAACACTATATCACCAGTGCTCCCTCTAAGCTGAGCTAGTGTGAGCTAGCTCACAGGGGTTTTTTTAGCCTCCAGCTCACACCTTTCTGTCTTAGCTCAGGAAGGATGGTTCCAGAGCAAACTAATTTACGCAGTAGCCAAATCACTTACTTACAACTTTAACGCCAGGAGCTCACAAAGTAGAATTTTTGCTCACAAGATTCCACAGCTTACAGGGAGCATCCCACCTGTCTCTCCTGTGCAAACCAGGCCTGCAGCTAGGTTTACCAAGCCTCCTCTAGGCCCTGGAATACCAAAATAGCAGCCTAGAACACACCAAACAGCCCCATACTGTGCATGCCCTTTTAGGCGAATCAGTGGCAGCAAAAGATATGCTTCTCTGCCATTACTGATCTCTCTGATGAGGAACTCCAGACAAGCTTTCAAGGCTGGGTGACGATGAGCATACTAAATAATAATAATGCGACAAGCTTTCATTGATCGATTGAATAGATTAAACAATGAATGATTCATCCATTGGATGAATCAACGGGATTGCCAAGTGAAACGCACACCTCCCCCCCCCTTTTTTTGAGGCACTCTTGGGGCCTTTATGTCTCTGAACACATGGTGGTATTTATTTTATTGTTATTTATGAAGCACCTAAAAGCACTAGGCACTGCACAAAACAACAACAGCAACCAAAAACAAGACAGGCCCTGCCCACAGACTTACAGCAGAGTGAAATAAATTATAAGTTATCTTCCTTCACCATCTGAAAGAGAGACACCTATATGGAGGATCTGGTGATGTGCAGAGATATCAGTTAACTGGCTGCAGCTGAGCGGCAGAGCACCTGCTTTTGCATGCAGAAGGTCCCAGGTTCAATTCCCGGCATCTCCACTTAAAGGATCACGTAGCAGGGGATGTGAAAGACCTGCAAATATGCAAACTGCTAAATCTAGGAAAGGCAAACTTAATGCTTGCTATCAACATCTGGCCTAATATAACATGAGAAACTTTAATAGCTGACAAGGCTAACTGCCCAAATTAACATTGCACCAAATTATTGTTACATAATTAACTATACAGAAAAATGGATTCCCTGTTTATCACTTGGCAACTCAATGAAAAAGGAATCCGCACATACTCTAAATGATTGAGATTCACACATATCTACTCATTAAAGGGTCTTTTCATAAAAGTTACAGAAAGCACTTTACGGTTTATGACAGAATCTATATTTGGGAGCCTGCAGTGGCCTTTGGGAACCCTGATTATTCCCCTAAATTACTTTGAATTGTTATCATTATACTGACCGGAATCCAACTCTCCGTGTGTAATGGAGGCAGTTCTTGGTGACGTGGGTCTGGAAATGGACCGATCGGCAGATGGCGCCACATTCCGGACAGGTGTAGGGAGATTTATGTTGATGGATTCTCTGGTGCGATGCAAAACTGCACAAGTTGGGAAGCAGCATCTGGCATATACTGCAGGTTTTCTGAATGGCGAAGCAAGAGAGGTGAGATGAGAGATGTCTTAGATACAAACCAAGAGATGTCTTAGATACAAAACAACCTTTGAAAAAGGCTTACATTTATGGGCATTTAAGGTTTTTTTTTTTAAAAAAGAACTCAACAAAGCAAAAATCACAACAAAACATTATTCACAGGGTTTGCTTTTTTTAAAACTTGACTGCCTGCCTTTCTAGATAACAGCTTAAGAACAGATCCTGTAACGCGCAAACAATTGGCTCACTTTCAACCTGGTCACTCTTACTCCTCCCACCTCTGCTTCTGCTACGCTCTCCCCAGTACCAGCATATATTTAGTTCGTGGGCCCTGGCTCAGATGGCCCAGGTTAGCCTGATCTTGACAAATTTTAGATACTAAGCAGAGTTGGCCTTGGTTGGTACTTGGGATGGGAGACCACCAAGGAAGCCCAGGGTTGCTGCGTAGAGGCAGACGATGGAAAACCATGGCTGTCTGTCTCTTGCCTTGAAAACCTTTCAGGATCACCGTAAATCAGCTGCAGCTTGACGGCGTTTTACACCACCCCCAAGATCCTTGGGGAAGAGACCCATCTTTTTTTGCTTAAGCTGTAAACCACCATGTAGGTTGATATAATAACACCCTCCATTTAAAGCCCCTTGATTCAACCCCAAGAAAAGAAAGCATTTTTCCCTTTCACTGTTTTTTGTTTATTTAGTTGTGCTTCCTTTCAGAGCCCTGCTCCAGGCGGCTTGTGGCAGAGCAGCCCTACTGACCTGTGGGCACTACTCCATCTTGCCCTCTGAGGCATCTGGGCACCAGTGGCCGTCCACCCCGCCCAACTCCCCCCCGGCAATGTGTCACTCTCCTGGGCTTCTTTCTAACGCTCGGAGGGATTTTCTCTCCCTTATCTGGTAATACTGTCGCCAACTGGAGGAAAGGCAGGAAAAAAATGTAGCAGTGCAGGGCAAATAATCTAATGTTAAACAATACAGTTAAAAAACAATTGCCAACTATGGAGATAGATGAAGATGGGTAGCTGTGTTAGTCTGTCTGCAGCAGTAGAAAAGAGTAAGGATCTAGTAGCACCTTCAAGACTGAAAAAAGATCAATTTCCCACAAGCAGCTGCATCGCTCTCGCGCTTCCCTTTCCCCCCCATTGCATTTGTCAATTTCCCACTACTTGCTGCACGGCTGCATTTTGACCCACAGCATCCCCCGATTTCCCCCGCGTCTTCACTATCTTTAAAAACAAGGATCACAAAGATGCGGGGGGAAATCGGGGGGATGCTGTGAGTCAAAACACGGCCGCGCAGCAAGTAGTAGGAAATTGACGAATGCAATCGGGAAAGGGAAGAGCGAGGGCGGCACATCTGCTTGTGTGAAATCGGTCAAAATTTCTGGCAGGGGAGGAGCTCTCCTGAGCCACTGCTTTAAATTCAGGTACTACTGGACTCTTACTCTTTTCTAATGCAACTATGTACTTTTTCATACATAAGAACGTAAGAAGAACCCTGCTGGATCAGACCATCTAGTCCAGCACTTTATCTCGCACAGTGGCCAACCAGTCCCTCTGGAGGTCCAACAACAGAGCATAGAGGCCAATGCCCTCCCCTGATATTGCCTCTTGGCACTGGTATTAAGGTTGCCAGCCTCCAGGTGGGCCCTGGAGATTCCCCCGCTTTTACAACTGATATCCAGCTGACAGAGATCAGATCCCCTGGAGAAAATGGCTGCACTGAAGGGGGGACTCAACGGCAGGGGTGTCAAACATAACGTCCGGGGCCCAGAAATGGCCTGCCGAGGGCTCTTAGGCGGCCTGGGAGCAACTAGTGCAAGGGAGGGACAGGAGACTGCTTGGAGGAAGTAGGCGGAGTCACTCCGATTGTGGCTTCAGCACGGCAGAACAACCTTGCCTGCAGCAGTCAAACAGTGTAGGAACGTCTGTCCAGTGTTGTACTGCTGGCTCTCCAGTCTGCTTATGTGGGCTTTCCTCAGAACCCCCCCCCCCCCAATCCCATGGGGCCCTGCAGTGAGGACACGCCAACTCACAGCTTACCAGCTGCTGTCCTATCTGCTGTCCTATCTGCTGTTTCTATCTCCGGTACCTGGCATTACATTTTATGGCATGCATGGCCCGGCCCGGCCCGGCCCAACAAAGTGACATTTATGTCAGATCCTGCCCCCTTAACAAATGAGTTCAACACCCCTGCTCTATGGCACTCTCCTGGATCCACCCCCAAAGTCTGCAGGTATCTTCCAACCCAGACCTGGCAACCCTAAACTGGTATTCAGAGGTTACTGCCACTGAATGTGAAAGTTCCCTTTAGTCACCCTGGCAAGCAGCCACTGATAGACCTGTCCTCCACATCTAGAAGTCAATCCTCATTTGCCTCAGTGACTAACCCAACCCATCTTCTTACCCACTTCATGTACCAGTCTGAATGTATACGATACGTACCTCCAAATGTATAAAATACGTATCTACACAGATACTTATCTGGTCTGTATAGAGAACTGAGGGCTTGGTGGGAAAACTGGGAGGGAACTTTGCACTGCCAGTCTCTTCACCCGTGTTTAAGACGTAAGGAAACATAACTGGTTCAGAGCCTACTAAATATATTGTGGGAGAAGCTTGTTTTTAAGGTGCCTCAGGTCTCTCTCTCGTTTTTACAGACATGATTGGTTTTTTATTACATTTTTAAAGAGGAAACCTTACTACTGACTTGCACCGTCCACACACAGAGGGCACAACCCTCCCACGAGTACAACACATGATAGAGCACGAGTATAGCACCTGCTGAACAAGCCTGCTAAAAATTGCTTTGTGACTGGGGACTGTAGACTGATAGTGGTGAATGGGTCAGAAAAGGGATTCCACTCCAGCTTGGGTGCTCTGCCACCGCTCACTTTTGGAACATTTGCAAGTCCAGATCATGATCCATCACCACTTCACCTCACGAAGCCCTCTTTATGTCTTGGTGCATTTCAACTCTGGACGCAAACAGCTGCGGAGCCGTCTTAGCTACCACAGGAGAAGCCTTTCGCCCAGCTCCCTGGACCCATGGCTGCCTTTATCACACTTTCAAAATGAGCCTGGGAATGACCTTTTCCACTTCAACCCGACTGCTGTAACACTTCCCTTTAAACTTTAAAGAAACACTTCCCTTTAAACGTTTACTGCCAAAAATGGCCTCCGTGAGATCCCGAACTTGTCTAAAGGCTAAAACTAGGCACCATTTAAACATTGTTTTTAATAACCTTGTGGCGGACCTCTGCCAATGCGCACACCACCAACGCTTTTTTAAAAATGGCGGCTGAAAAGCGGAAGCTTCGGGCAGCTTTCGAGCAGGGAGGGGGTTTAAACCGGAAGTGGCTCGACACCGGAGGCGCGATCACACAGGGGGGAAATGCGGCTGGAACTGGAGAATCAGGAAAACACCACTTGGGGACCTGGTATCAAAATACTCCGGGTTAAAGCTGTTTTGAGCCGGAAAGCAACGACTGGGAACGGGAGGCAGATGCTGACCGTGTGATCGCGCAGATAAAATCCGTTTCTGAGGCGGGCCGAAAGCTGACAAAACGGCCCGTCTGAACGCACCCTGGGAGTTATTTGCTCCACCCAAAGATTCCTGGGTTTGGAGATGGAGCCTCTTTTCTTGAAATTACATTTACTGGGACTGTCCCGTCCTCTTCTCTCAATTGCTCTGTGCTTTTTATGGGAACGAGGAACTGCTGGCGTGGCAGCAGAATGGCTTTTAGAGCTGTTCGAACTTCAAAGCGGTTTCATATCTACACAGCAAGAACTGGAGCTGTGATAAGAGTAATGGTCTCTTCTATACATCTGTGGCCTAAAGCAAGTCTTGGTAATGGGTATAACAAACAGGGGACCCGCAAGGACTTGTGGGGTAGGGGGACATCTCATTTCCCCTATATCCCACTCCCACACAATTTGCTCCTTTCCTCCCGGGGTGGCCAGGTGCTTTCCTCCTGCCAGAGGGGAGAGTTAGGGGGTGTTCCAGGGGTGGGCGATGTGCTGACGCCACTTCCAGAAGTGATGTCATCATGTTGGGGTGACGCTCTACTTTTTGGGCAAAACTCAATGGCAAAAACGGCTACAAACCATAGAGTTTTGCCCAAAAAGTAGAGCATTGTTCCTGATCGTGCCAATGCAATGACATCACTTCCGGAAGTGACATCAGTGTGTCGCTGATGTCACGCAGGGGGCACAGTGTCCCCCCCCCACTGGCCAGCTGCCAGCCATCAGGCCGCAGCCTGCAAAAGCGGGGGATCCCCTGCCCCCACCTGGGGACTGGCAAGCCTATTTCCTCCCCCTGGAAGCCCCCATAGCCTCCCCTGTTCATGCTTCTTTCCCTCCCACCCACCTCTATCTGCTCCCCTCCATCTTTTCCTCCTTCTTTCCCCAAGCAGCCTCTTCCCTTCTCTTCCCTGTCTCACCTACCCAACTACCTTTTCCTGTTCTCGCCTCCTCTCTCCTTCGCCCCTTCCCCTGCTTCTTCTCCTTCCATCTTTTACCCTTTTTCATGAAGACAGTTTCAGAGGGTGGCCTCCGTGTTGGTCTGCGGTAGAACAGCCAGAACTGTTGGTCTCTAAGGTGCTGCGGGACTCGAATCTACCTTCTGTTGGTCTCTCTCCCATCTTTGACAAAACCCAAGGCTCGGAAGGGTTGGCAATATTATTGTGATTGCCCACCAACCCCCCGCAAATAGCCACAGAGATCTCATAACACAGTCTTGTGCAATCTGAGTGGGCATTCGTCTCTTAAGTCCACAGGCAATACCCTTAAATACAGCCATCTTTAATACTACAATAAAGAACTTGTGTATTTCCTTTCACCAGTCACTCTGTCTGCACTCTGCCTAGATTAGGGTTGACCGTGGCAGCCCAGGTAGCACTATGGCCACACGTCCATGCCGTGCAGTGACTCAAGTAAGAAAATTCTTTGGAAGTGGTCTGTCGTGACCCAGAAAACAATAAGAACCAGTCTTGG